ATCCTAGTTTGTAGAGTGAATATCCACTTGACCTCTCTCTCAAGCAAACGGTGATATAGATCTCCTTCTCATGTGGGTTTTTTAATTTCCTCAACCCCACTGAATTTAAATGAATTCATATTAGCTGAATGAACCTCCAGGAGACGTTGGAAATATTTCTTGTATTGGGATTACCAGCATCATTATAATGTTCAGAAATTCTGGTGTACAAAGATCTAATTTTGCATCCAATATAATGAAATGCACAACTAGTACATCTATATATATATATATATATATATATATATATATGTGTGTGTGTGTGTGTGTATATATATAATATATATATATATATGTGTGTGTGTGTACTGGACAAAATGATAGAAACACCAGGTAAAAAAAGCAAAATCATTACCTAATATGGTGTTGGACTGCCTTTGGCATCCAAGACACCGGGAACTGAATTGAAAAATATAAGTTTTGGAGGATAATGGAATCTGATACCGATCTTCATGCAAAAATCAATCCAGTTCTAGCAGAGATGCCAGAGGCCGAAAAACGAGCTCCAAAATTGACCATAGGGCTCTATGAGTTTGGGCGTCCAGGGAAGATGCGAGACTTCGGCTGTGTGCTCATCAAACCACGATTTCACAACACCAGCTGAGCGAATCAGAGCATTATCATCTTGGTAAATGCCACTATCTTCGGGAAACAATGTCTGCACCATGGGATGCACATGGATGGCCAACATTTGTACATAGTCGCTGGCAGTGACTCTACCTTACAAGGTGATGATGGGGCCTGCAGAATACCAAGATATGGCTTGCAAAACCATGAATGTACCTCCACTATGCTTTATCATTGGCACAAGACAGTCCTGGCCGTAAGCTTGGTTCGGTGTTTGCCACACATAAACAAGTCCAGTGGTTGGGAACAGTGTGAAGCTCAATTCATCAGACCATATTACAGTCTTCCATTGACCGATAGTCCATTAATATTGGGTGTTGCACTACTCTCTCCTCTTCTAAGCATTAATATCAATCACTAGTGATTTGGTAATTGCAGCTCACCCATGAATGTTTTGCTTATGGAGTTCCCTCTGCACAGTTTTTGTGGACACAAGCTTTGGAAGAGTAAGATTGAGCTCTGCAGTGGCTTTTGCAGCAGTTGTTTTCCTATTGCGGGTCACAATCTTGCGTAATGTCCTTTTGTTTCTTTTGGTCAGTGTGACCATGTTAAGTGGTTAATGCTTATTAGACGATGTTTCCGGAAAAACTGTATATGCTATCATAACCTTTAAAACAAGCTAATAATATATATATATAAAAAAAAAAAATAACCTTTGATACAGTACACACAACACCCCCAATAAATTGGTAACTTCAGTCACAAATGCACCAGCTAAGCAGACACCAATAATTTGCCCTCTTTGAAAACTCAGTAAGTTCTGACATGACTCTGCATTACTAGCAGCACACGCAGCAAATGACAAAAGTGAGGCTTCCCACCTGTTAGCTAGGTGTCTCATCACACCACAGAAGCAGAAAAATGTTACATCACTTCTACTTTCAATGCAAAACATGTCATCCCTTTCACACCTGCAAATATTGTTAATGTTTCCATATTTTTGTCCAAACCTGTATATATATATATATTATATATATATATATATACATACATACAATATATACATTTAAGATATTTAATACAGAGTGGTATTCATTTGTATTGTTTATATCTGCCTGGGGCTAAACTGCAGGGAAACAGAAAAATATGTTTCAGCTTGCTCATCCAAGCGCCTAATTACATAGTTTATGATAAATATTTATTGAATAATATCTTGAAGCTACTAATGGTAATAAAAACAATGAAACAAGGAATGAGTGAATATGTTGGGTAGCTTCAGTGTATTTTTGTAGTAAGTGATGATAAATCTATTCGTCTATACTTGTATTTTTGCATCTAGCATATTGATAGTACACTTCATATGCCTTATGACACAAAATTATTTCCAAGAGAAGATCCAGATGACAAACTGAGCAAGTTCAGGCCACTGGTCTTTTTACTCAACATATATCTTGTCATAGCTTTGATTATCATGGGGCAGTCAGGCATCATGTTACCATCTTTCTTTAAACTTCAGAATATTGATTAAGCGAGGTTGTGGGCAAGGTCAATTGGTTGGTACCCAAGGTGGAGAAAAGGCATACTGAAACTAGGTAGAGTTATTATTTGGTTATGCGGAAATAACAGTGGCAAGGTAAGTGCTTAAAACAGCCTCAAGCAGGTTGGTAATAATGTCTCACTGACACAGGCTTCACAGGTACAGAAACTCTTAGTGGAATAGTCTAAGCATATATAGTGTCATCTTTAGAGATGAGCGAAGTATTCAAAAATTCGATTCGACTGATTTGGCGAATTCGTGAAAAAATTTCGATTCGAGTAGAATATATTCGCCGCGCGAATTTAACTTATAAAAGGGTGTTTCTAGGCTTCAGAGAGCCTTTATATTAGTGCAGAACACTGTACCTTTAATTTAAATGCCCTTGGAGTCTGCCGGGGAAGAGAAATAATACTGACAGTCAGTATGACATGCAGATGAGTGCCGTCGATCTTAGAATCACCGCACACTTCACTCATTTGGGCAGTCACGGGGCCAAAACCAGAGTGTGGAGCCACAGTGTGGCGGTGGAGGCAGCAGCAATGGGAGGCCATACAGCACCCTATGACAAAAAAATGGAAACCACCAGCAGTGTGAGGAGACCTGAAAGTGGCACATGGCAGAGTGTGGCGATGGAGACAGCAGCAATGGGAGGCCGTTCAGGGACCCATGACACACTCTGGACCTGGCAGCAGCATGAGGAGGCGGTACAGGGGCCCATGACAGATTACGGGCCTGGCAGCAGCATGAGGAGTCGGTAATCGGGGGCCCCTATGGCAGATTACGGGCCCTGGCAGCAGCAATGGGGCCGTACAGGGACCCATGACAACACTCTGGACCTGGCACCAGCATGAGGGAGGCGGGTACAGGGGCCCATGACAGATTACGGGCCTGGCAGCAGCATGAGGAGTCGGTACGGGGGCCCATGACACACTCTGGACCTGGCAGCAGCATGAGGAGGCGGCACAGGGGCGCATGACAGATTACGAGCCTGGCAGCAGCAACTTGGACAGGGCCGGACGTTCAGCTTCTGCACCGTCGGGTGCGTGCACTCGCAAACTGTTGTCTCTTGGTGAAACGGATTCCAAGAAAGGGCACTGCTGACGGGCCGTGAAGAGCAGCAATGGGGAGGTCCCAGGAGTAGCAGGAGAAGGAGCATCTGAACGAGCGGAATATGCCAACAAGCGTACAGGGGCCCATGACAGATTACGGGCCTGGCAGCAGCATGAGGAGTCGGTACGGGGGCCCATGGCAGATTACGGGCCTGGCAGCAGCAATGGGAGGCCCGTAATCTGCCAGCACCCTATGACAAAAAATGGAACACACACCAGCAGTGTGTGAGGAGACCTGAAAGTGGCACATGGCAGAGTGTGGCGATGGAGACAGCAGCAATGGGAGGCCGTACAGGGACCCATGAGAGACTCTGGACCTGGCAGCAGCATGAGGAGGCGGTACTGGGGCCCATGGCAGATTAGGGGCCTGGCAGCAGCTATGGGAGGCCCGTAATCTGCCAGCACCCTATGACAAAAAATGGAACACACACCAGCAGTGTGAGGAGACCTGAAAGTGGCACATGGCAGAGAGTGTGGCGATGGAGACAGCAGCAATGGGAGGCACGTACAGGGACCCATGAGAGTGGACTGTGGACCTGGGCAGCAGCATGAGGAGGCGGTACTGGGGCCCATGGCAGATTACGGGCCTGGCAGCAGCAATGGGAGGCCCGTAATCTGCCAGCACCCTATGACAAAAAATGTAACACACCAGCAGTGTGAGGAGACCTGAAAGTGGCACATGGCAGAGTGTGTGGCGATGGAGACAGCAGCAATGGGAGGCGGTTCAGGGACCCATGAGACACTGTGGACCTGGCAGCAGCATGAGGAGCGCGGTACAGGGGCCCATGGCAGATTAAGGCCTGGCAGCAGCAATGGGAGGCCCGTAATCTGCCAGCACCCTATGATGACAAAATGGAACCCTGGGTGGGGCAGGCAGAACCGCCGTATCTTTATCACGGTTTTCCCAGGCCACCGAATGGCGACGCAATGGGAGCATATGCTGACGCAACGCTGTAGTCCCAACATGGGCCCCCCTGGCCACGCTTGACTTTCTGGCCACATAGTCGACATACGGCTACGTGTTACTTCTCGGGGGGCTTGACGAAAAATTGCCACACCGCCGAGTAGGAAACTTTGGCCCCCGTACTCCTCACTGGCTGACTGCTACTTCCTCCGTGCACACCGGCACCACTACTGGCCGTGGTGGTAGGCTGCAGTGGAGCTGGTGCTCTACTCCGTGGCCGTTTGCCTCCACTGACACTGCTGCGACCCTGCTGCCTCCTGGCAGCAGCAATGGGAGGCCGTACAGGGACCCATGACACACTCTGGACCTGGCAGCAGCATGAAGAGGCGGTACAGGGGCCCATGGCAGATTACGGGCCTGGCAGCAGCAATGGGAGGCCCGTAATCTGCCAGCACCCTATGACAAAAAATGGAAACACACCAGCAGTGTGAGGAGACCTGAAAGTGGCACATGGCATGAGACACTGTGGACCTGGCAGCAGCATGAGGAGGCGGGTACAGGGGCCCATGGCAGATTAGGGGCCTGGCAGCAGCTATGGGAGGCCCGTAATCTGCCAGCACCCTATGACAAAAAATGGAACACACCAGCAGCGTGAGGAGGAGACCTGAAAGTGGCACATGGAAGAGTGTGTGCGATGGAGACAGCAGCAATGGGAGGCCGTACAGGGACCCATGAGAGACTGTGGACCTGGCAGCAGCATGAGGAGGCGGGTACTGGGGCCCATGGCAGATTACGGGCCTGGCAGCAGCAATGGGAGGCCCGTAAATCTGCCAGCACCCTATGACAAAAAATGGAACACACACCAGCAGTGTGAGGAGACCTGAAAGTGGCACATGGCAGAGTGTGGCGATGGAGACAGCAGCAATGGGAGGCGGTACAGGGACCCATGAGACACTGTGGACCTGGCAGCAGCATGAGGAGGCGGGTTAGGTACAGGGGCCCATGGCAGATTAAGGCCTGGCAGCAGCAATGGGAGGCCCGTAATCTGCCAGCACCCTATGACAAAAATGGAACCCTGGGCTGGGGCAGGCAGAACCGCCGTAAAAGTTATGGCACGGTTTTCCCCAGGCACCGAATGGCAACGCTGCATATGCTGACGCAACGCTGTAGTCCCAACATGGGCCCCCTGGCCAGCTGCTTGACTTTCTGGCGGGGTAGTCGGGGCCCATACGGCAGATTACTTCCTCGGGGCCTGCAGCAGCTTTGACGAGGCCCGTAATCTGCCACACCGCCGAGTATGAAACTTTGCCCCCGAACTCACTCACTGTGACTGCTAGGAGACCGTGCACACCGGGGCACACTACTGGCCGTGTGGTGGTAGGCTGCAGTGGAGGCTGGTGCTCTACTCCGTGGCCGTTTGGGGCCTCCACTGACACTGCTGCGACCCTGCTGCCTCCTGGCCTGAAAAAGCAGCACATGGGAGGCCGCCGTACAGGGACCCATGACCCATGAGACTCTGGACCTGGCAGCAGCATGAGGAGGCGGTATCATGCATGGGCTACAGGGGCCCATGGCAGATTAGGGGCCTGGCAGCAGCTATGGGAGGCCCGTAATCTGCCAGCACCCTATGACAAAAAATGGAACACACCAGCAGTGTGAGGAGACCTGAAAGTGGCACATGGCAGAGAGTGGGCGATGGAGACAGCAGCAGCAATGGGAGGCCATACAGGGACCCATGAGAGACTCTGGACCTGGCAGCAGCATGAGGAGGCGGTATAGGGGCCCATGGCAGATTAGGGGCCTGGCAGCAGCTATAGGAGGCCCGTAATCTGCCAGCACCCTATGACAAAAAATGGAACACACCAGCAGTGTGAGGAGACCTGAAAGTGGCACATGGCATGAGACACTGTGGACCTGGCAGCAGCATGAGGAGGCGGTATAGGGGCCCATGGCAGATTAGGGGCCTGGCAGCAGCTATGGCAGAGGCCCGTAATCTGCCAGCACCCTATGACAAAAATTGAACACACCAGCAGTGTGGGGAGACCTGAAAGTGGCACATGGCATGAGACACTGTGGACCTGGCAGCAGCATGAGGAGGGTACAGGGGCCCATGGCAGATTAGGGGCCTGGCAGCAGGAGGCCCGTACCATGCCAGCACCCTATGACAAAAAATGGAACACACCAGCAGTGTGAGGAGACCTGAAAGTGGACACATGGCAGAGTGTGGCGATGGAGACAGCAGCAATGGGAGGCCGTACAGGGACCCATGAGAGGACTCTGGACCTGGCAGCAGCATGAGGAGGCGGTATAGGGGCCCATGGCAGATTAGGGGCCTGGCAGCAGCTATGGGAGGCCCGTAATCTGCCAGCACCCTATGTCAAAAAATGGAACACACCAGCAGTGTGTGAGGAGACCTGAAAGTGGCACATGGCAGAGTGTGGCGATGGAGACAGCAGCAATGGGAGGCCGTACAGGGACCCATGAGAGACTCTGGACCTTGGCAGCAGCATGAGGAGGCGGTATAGGGGCCATGGCAGATTAGGGGCCTGGCAGCAGCTATGGGAGGCCCGTAATCTGCCAGCACCCTATGACAAAAAATGGAACACACCAGCAGTGTGTGAGGAGACCTGAAAGTGGCACATGGCAGAGTGTGGCGATGGAGACAGCAGCAATGGGAGGCCGTACAGGGACCCATGAGACACTCTGGACCTGGCAGCAGCATGAGGAGGCGGTATAGGGGCCCATGGCAGATTAGGGGCCTGGCAGCAGCTATGGGAGGCCCGTAATCTGCCAGCACCCTATGTCAAAAAATTGAACACACCAGCAGTGTGTGAGGAGACCTGAAAGTGGCACATGGCAGAGTGTGGCGATGGAGACAGCAGCAATGGGAGGCCGTACAGGGACCCATGAGAGACTCTGGACTTCGCAGCAGCATGAGGAGGCGGTATAGGGGCCCATGGCAGATTAGGGGCCTGGCAGCAGCTATGGGAGGCCCGTAATCTGCCAACACCCTATGACAAAAAATTGAACACACCAGCAGTGTGAGGAGACCTGAAAGTGGCACATGGCATGAGGAGACACTGTGGACCTGGCAGCAGCATGAGGAGGCGGGGGCGGTACAGGGGCCCATGGCAGATTAGGGGCCTGGCAGCAGCTATGGGAGGCCCGTAATCTGCCAGCACCCTATGACAAAAAATGGAATACACCAGCAGTGTGTGAGGAGACCTGAAAGTGGCACATGGCAGAGTGTGGCGATGGAGACAACCCACCGACTGTTTTGCTCGCTGCCAAGCTGCCACCCTCTTCTGCTGATGATGCGGAAGCAATAGCCTGATGACGACGAGGCTGCCAAGTGCGATCAGCCTCATCATCATCATCAATTAGGGTCTCCGCCTCACTACTAGCCCCCTCGGCTGCGTGTGGGTCAGGAGACAGACCTGTCTCTAGACCGGCTACTGAGCCACTCTCCTCGCCACTACTTCTTCGCCTGGCTGCTGAAGAGGCGGATGTCTCCCCCCGTTCCTGACCGCCCTCTGTTAGCTCTTCCTCACTGTACTGGATGACACCGGGAGCACTGGCCTCTGGCTGCGAATAGTGCTGCCTCGACCCCTTCCTCTGCTGCCACGTCTGCTCGCTCCTAAAACATTGCCTCCTCTGCCACTCCTCTGCATGTTGTCTGACATACTCTTTAATTAAACGATTCTGTGTCCCTGAGTAACAATTCTGTGTCTGTCCCTGAGTAACAATTCTGTGTCCCTGAGTAACGTTTCTGTGGCCCTAAGTAACAGTTCTGTGGCCCTCAGTAACAATTCTGTGTCCCTCAGTAACAATTCTGTGTCCCTCAGTAACAATTCTGTGTCCCTCAGTAACAATTCTGTGTCTGTCCCTGAGTAACAATTCTGTGTCCCTCAGTAACAATTCTGTGTCCCTCAGTAACAATTCTGTGTCCCTGAGTAACAATTCTGTGTCTGTCCCTGAGTAAGAATTCTGTGTCTGTCCCTGAGTAACAATTCTGTGTCCCTGAGTAACGTTTCTGTGGCCCTAAGTAACAGTTCTGTGGCCCTCAGTAACAAATCTGTGTCCCTCAGTAACAATTCTGTGTCTGTCCCTGAGTAACAATTCTGTGTCTGTCCCTGAGTAACAATTCTGTGTCCCTCAGTAACAATTCTGTGTCCCTCAGTAACAATTCTGTGTTCCTGAGTAACAATTCTGTGTCCCTCAGTAACAATTCTGTGTCCCTCAGTAACAATTCTGTGTCCCTGAGTAACAATTCTGTGTCTGTCCCTGAGTAAGAATTCTGTGTCTGTCCCTGAGTAAGTAACGTTTCTGTGGCCCTAAGTAACGTTTCTGTGTTTCTGTGGCCCTAAGTAACGTTTCTGTGGCCCTAAGTAACGTTTCTGTGTGGCCCTAAGTAACGTTTCTGTGGCCCTAAGTAACCGTTCTGTGTCCCTCAGTAACAATTCTGTATCCCTCAGTAACAATTCTGTGTCTGTCCCTGAGTAACAATTCTGTGGCCCTAAGTAACGTTTCTGTGGCCTTAAATAACGGTTCTGTGGCCCTCAGTAACAATTCTGTGTCCCTCAGTAACAATTCTGTGTCTGTCCCTAAGTAACAATTCTGTGGCCCTAAGTAAAGTTTCTGTGGCCCTAAGTAACGTTTTTGTGTCCCTAAGTAACGATTCTGTGGCCCTAAGTAACGATTCTGTGGCCCTAAGTAACGTTTCTGTAGCCCTAAGTAACGTTTCTGTACCCTAAGTAACGTTTCTGTGGCCCTAAGTAATGTTTCTGTGGCCCTCAGTAACGTTTCTGTGGCCCTAAGTAACGGTTCTGTGGCCCTCAGTAACAATTCTGTGGCCCTCAGTAACAATTCAGTGTCTGTCCCTAAGTTACAATTCTGTGGCCCTAAGTAACGTTTCTGTCCCTAAGTAACGTTTCTGTGGCCCTAAGTAACGATTCTGTGGCCCTAAGTAACGTTTCTGTGGCCCTAAGTAATGTTTCTGTGGCCCTCAGTAACAATTCTGTGTCCCTCAGTAACAATTCTGTGTCTGTCCCTAAGTAACAATTCTGTGGCCCTAAGTAATGTTTCTGTGGCCTAAGTAATGGTTCTGTGGCCTAAGTAACAATTCTGTGTCCCAATAACAATTCGTTCTGTGGCCTAAGTAACAATTCTGTGTCCCTAAGTCAGTTTCTGTGGCCCTAAGTAACGATTTCTAAGTGTCTGTGGCCCTAAGTAACAATTCTGTGGCCCTCAGTAAGTAACGTGTTCAGTAACTGTGGCCCTAAGTAACAATTCTGTGGCCCTAAGTAACGTTTCTGTGGCCCTCTTTCTGTGGCCCTAAGTAACGATTCTGTGGCCCTAAGTAACGTTTCTGTGGCCCTAAGTAACGTTTCTGTGGCCCTCAGTAACAAATCTGTGTCCCTCAGTAACAATTCTGTGTCTGTCCCTAAGTAACAATTCTGTGGCCCTAAGTAACGTTTCTGTGGCCCTAAGTAACGGTTCTGTGGCCCTCAGTAACAATTCTGTGTCCCTCAATAACAATTCTGTGTCTGTCCCTAAGTAACAATTCTGTGGCCCTAAGTAACGTTTCTGTGGCCGTAAGTAACGATTCTGTGGCCCTCAGTAACAATTCTGTATCCCTCAGTAACAATTCTGTGTCTGTCCCTGAGTAACAATTCTGTGTCCCTAAGTAACGTTTCTGTGGCCCTAACTAACGATTCTGTGGCCCTAAGTAACGTTTCTGTGGCCCTAAGTAACGTTTCTGTGGCCCTCAGTAACAAATCTGTGTCCCTCAGTAACAATTCTGTGTCTGTCCCTAAGTAACAATTCTGTGGCCCTAAGTAACGTTTCTGTGGCCCTAAGTAACGGTTTTGTGGCCCTCAGTAACAATTCTGTGTCCCTCAATAACAATTCTGTGTCTGTCCCTAAGTAACAATTCTGTGGCCCTAAGTAACGTTTCTGTGGCCCTAAGTAACGTTTCTGTGGCCCTAAGTAACGATTCTGTGGCCCTCAGTAACAAATCTGTGTCCCTCAGTAACAATTCTGTGTCTGTCCCTAAGTAACAATTCTGTGGCCCTAAGTAACGATTCTGTGGCCCTCAGTAACAAATCTGTGTCCCTCAGTAACAATTCTGTGTCTGTCCCTAAGTAACAATTCTGTGGCCCTAAGTAACGTTTCTGTGGCCCTAAGTAACGATTCTGTGGCCCTCAGTAACAATTCTGTATCCCTCAGTAACAATTCTGTATCCCTCAGTAACAATTCTGTCTGTCCCTGAGTAACAATTCTGTGTCCCTAAGTAACGTTTTCTGTGGCCCTAACTAACGATTCTGTGGCCCTAAGTAACGTTTCTGTGGCCCTAAGTAACGATTCTGTGGCCCTAACTAACGGTTCTGTGTCCCTAAGTAACGTTTCTCTGTCCCTAACTCTCTCCCTGAATACAGCCAGGTCTGCCTCTGTTGAATGACTGGAGGCAAATGGAGAATTCTAAAATGGCCGCCATTTATAGCTCGACCATTACACTGTGCTGGCTGGCTGGCTGCTGATTGGCTAATGCGATCACATGTCATGATGAATGCATTATGGGTCAGCGCGCCTTGTTCTGCGCGCCTTCCCAGACATCCCCGCTCCGTCGCCGCACATGTCGCCGCCATTTTAGGAAAAATTTCGATTTGCACATCCGAAGTCTGCTTATTTTCGGATTCGACGCGAATCGAAATTTTCCTAATATTCGAAAACGAATTCCACTTCACCTACTTCGATTCGCTCATCTCTAGTCATCTTGATAAGGCTTACATTACGGGAACAGCATCTGGTTGAAGAGGTGCAGCTGTTTGTTGGTGTTGCGGTATAAGCTGCACTGAGTAGACCGATGGTAGATCCTTATCACCATATCTACAGTAGTCCATCTAAGGCCAGAGGTAGCGGAGCCAGCGAAGGTGACCTATTCTGTCCCTCCTCCTCAGGATCTTTGCCTAGTACCAGATGCTCTGTCTCCAGCCAGTGTTGATCTTGTCCCTTGACTATTCACCACACCAACTGCAGAAGGTATACCAGATCAGCAGCTTCAGCCTCAAAATAGTGCTTTGGAATAGCCTATAGCACTCCTAAAATGTAAAAATACTGTATATGTTTCTGTGTATCGTATTCAAGGGATGGAATAATCATTTATATTGTTCTGCAAACCTTGACTGCTATTCTGATTACACCTTCAGCCTGTTCCCTGGTCTTTGTTGCTCATTTGTCTGCTTCCTACCTCCTTTCTTGTGCCTCTATTCCAACATTGCCTGAACACAATCTGCATTCATTTTCCCAGTTTGCACATTTTGTTTTTGCTTGATGGTTGCTTGTTTTTGGTTGGCTCCCATCAAGTCAGTTGTCTTTAGAGAGGCGAACTCAAAGGCCTCAACCCAGGCAAGTCACAGAGAGAAACCCAAAAACCTCTTGCAGGGGTAGACCAGGTACTCCACAGACTCCTCCTTGGGGTACCCAAAGCATACTACTTTTCACACAGTGGATTCTCACTAATCTATTACATCCCCATTCATTTGGTAATATGGTGCAACAGGTTGTCATGGACTATCCTGCACTGCACACAGAAGTGCTAAATCATGTAAAAAATAAAATGTATCTTATCTTTTTTGTAAGGAAAGCATTTTTAGCAGTGTAATGTCTGTTAAAAAAAAGGTGAACACTAACCTGGCTGTGATAAAATAATGTCCTAAATTAGT